ATAATTGATAACCGTTTGCGTTTTAAGTCCTTTGTTATTAACAGTTTTGTTAGTATTATCTTTTTGAGATTGTACATTTTAACTGATAGAAATATCTCTAATTATGTCTATGTATCTTAAATATGAAGTTATATTTGAATAAATAAAGCCAAAAAATTCATTTTTTAACCAATTTAGGTTTAAACCCCCATGTTAAGTGAATACTTTTTTTCTTTCATTTCTTTTTTTTTAAAAAAACGTTACCCCTACACTAGGATTTTCTCCTGTATCGTGGAGGCAGTTTACAAACATAAATTGCACAAGGACAAACATCCAGACCCGGAACAATTACTCGTATTTGTAGGCCATACAAATACTTGTTCCGTGCGGGATTCGAACCCGCGGCCCCCAGCGCAACAACTGATTGCTAAGCCACTGCGCCACGGAGCCTGGATACTGTTATCATTTACTGGCTCATAAGCACCTACATTAAGGATAATTCTTAATCGAAAACGATTAAGAATTAAAATGTAGTTGCGTTATCATCCCTGAGGTCTAAGATGGAATGCTTCATAGCCTGTAATTATTCTGATCCTCTATATCCTTCAGACCGAAAGACAGCAGCGCAAGCACTCCCAATTGGCGGCAAAAATCTATCTATAAGCCACATGGTCTATGGTTATATGGTTATATTTACAAAGCATCCGCTTACAATCAGGTGAATCATGTTCGTTTGTCGCCCTTATTTTATTTCAAAAAAATAATTCTCTGAAAAACGTTATCCGAAAGTATTTTGTTTTTATAAACATTCTATCGGTTTTATAACTTTGTGGAATTTTGTAACGATGTCTAGAGGCCAAGCAGTATGACTTTCGTCACTTGGGAGAGTTAAAGCCGTGGTTAAAAGTGTGGAATATTACCTTACTACTCTTTTAGGGTACCCGCTTTAGAGTATGAGTTGACGGCGCAAATATGACTTTCGAAAAATAATTACTATATATTTGTGACATTTGCTGTAGAGAATATCGGTCCGTGCGAGTTTCTCAAGTAACCGTAATCACATTTCAACACACCACTTGTTAAAATAAGGATGGTTCTTTTCTCACTCAAAGCCTTAGTATTTAACGAGAAAGCGCGGTCAGACCAATGCCGTGGAGATTAAGGAGATAATATATCTTTTATTTTTGTTATTATTGGTATAAATTATGTTATGTAAATAAGTACAAAAAATACAACAATAAGTTCATCTGATATTGTAATAGTTACGTCTATGTAATCATTGTTCAGTCGAATGATTTTTTACATAAGTCAGAATTACAGAAGAGCACACAGTATACTTGATAATAAGTGGATGCTGTGGTCTATAAAGATCTCAATTAACAATTAAAATGCCAAATGTGTATGTACTCCAGTCCCAGTCTCCAGTCTTATCAAATATAGGTAAGACAGCAGCATTATGCTGCTATCTTATGCTTGTATTCTGTGGGAACGAATTCCTTCCACGACCCATTCATAGCCTACTCCAAATCATAATAAAAACGTTAAATGCAATATATGGCGCCTCTCGGTATTCTACAGGATACATAATGAAGCTTGTAGGAATGACTTGACTTAATTTTTCATTGCCCTAGCATCCCATTTGGATGGTACATTCAGCATTTAGTCCGAAACTGCTTCAGTGCGTGTTGGCGTAATTTACTTTAGAGTATAGAGATTTTTTGATTTAGTAAAGAGATTTCCTAGGCCCTTAATAACATATAAAATAATTTTTATTCAGAATTTTATCTGCACAAGCACAAGAGTAACTGACATAGCCCTGCAGAACACTAAGCTGAAGTGGCAATGAGCCGCCCATAAATCTCGAAAGAAAAGGTTCTCGAGTGGCAGCCTCGTACCGGTGACGAACTGGTAAGAAATGTTGGAAGTCGATGAATACAGGTGGCTCGATACTATACTTAGTGGCATTCCTTACCCAAGGAAAATTCAGTCCTATGTTCAGCAGAAGACTTGTGATGGGCTATATTATTATGGTCATGATAAAGACGAGTATATTGACAAAGGCCATTAGAGCATATCGTCATCATCATCATTTTATAACTTCTAACGCGCGTACATAAGGACACACACCCATTTTTTTTTCTATCTGTTTACATATTGGCTACACCAAACAATTTCTACATACGAACATCTACATGAATCTACCGAAGAAATTGTTGATCTTTACTAGTGACTAAAATTTACATATTTTATAAGACTCCCAATTAATATTAATTTATTTTTATTGAGTAAGACATCAACAACTAACAGATTTTATTTGCGTTTAAGTTAAATATATAAAGTTCTTGTACTTTATTACTGGGTATCTAATCTTTCATTATTTATAAAACGAACGACAAAAAATATTGTAAACAAAGCAATAATAACACAGCTAAAAGCGTCAAATAAAAAAAAACTAAAACACTTTACTATTGCTTGTCAAAATAAGATTAATTGCAAGAAGGAAAAGATTAGCTAGAACTATCATTCGATAGCGAAATTCGAAGGTCAAATAGTTCGCATGCACTCTTGCCGGAACAAACAAGCGAGATTGTCTACCGGATAGCGGGCGAATTTGACCTAAGGGCAACATTTTATGAATCATTCAAAATCTATCATTTCGCAATATAATAATGTTCACGCAAGAGATAAATCATTTTAAGCCGGGTCTAAATTTAATTATCTTGGCGTATCTTGACCGGGCGTATCGTATTGTGAACTTATATCATAACGCCTATTTCGATCTTATCGTAACCGTATCATGCTAAAAAATGAGCTTATACCATGTTAATAGGGGGAAAACCGACTAGAGATAGGACGCGGCGTATCAAAATACGTCCATATTATCGATCACAATACTTGTATCCATTAGGAGGTGTATCAGATACGATGATATGTTTGGCATGGAACGTATCACATACCACATGATCGCGTATAATATTTCGTCGAGACGAATTCGAGACGAATGATTCCGAATAGTGCCAAATGATGACCTGGTGTTGAGTAAGACGCTAATAAATTAGTATTTTCGACGGCTCCGTGGCGCAGTGGCTAGCTGACTATTGCAACATTTTATTATATTTTTATAGAAGAAGGGCTAATGAGCATGCGGCTCACTGGATGATAAGTGTCGCCCGCTGCTTATAAACAACTGCAGCACCAAGAAAATTGCAAGTGCGTTGCCGGCCTTAAAAGATGTAACTCGATTCTTGAAAGTCCCTAAGTCGTATCCGTCCAGCAGAATCGCCGGTGGTAAAGGATCCCAGAAAGAAGTTGTGTGACAAAGAAAAGAATCGCACAGTGGAGGACCAAGCTTTCGATAAAACAAAAATATTATTTGGTTAAAACGCAATATTGGAATAATACCTCTCTTTATATCTTTTGCTTGTTATTCCGTACGAATAAGCGCTGTAAAAATATTAAAAATTCACACTTCGCTTTAATGTTTATAATAATTTATTAAAATGCAAATTCTTACAGATCATCATACGTGTATGTCTTCAAAGTGTAAAATTATTCATTCTGATGTAATACTTGCCATTATAATATGTATGTATGCATGAACACATATATATGTGCTTATAAATTACGTGTTTAGTATCTTCAACATTCTTAATGCGATTAGATAATAATTTAGTTAATAATTGTCTAAGTGCACTCACGTTATGAGCTGACAAAATTATTCTCACAACACAATTGGGATGCGGGAAGTAAAGACTGTGTAAGAACCTCCGAAGGAGGCGGAGTTATAGCAGAAATAAGAATTTTAATTTTTTTGGTTTTTGGCCATTTCGAGCCCGTAGAAGTGTAATAAGAACTTTTTGCCCCTGTTCAACCATGACCCCCATGCCATCCTCTACATGATAGGCTATTCAAACTGCCTAGGCCTAAAGTTCAAGTCGCCCCCAACTCATTTCTAGTCTTTACTTCCAACAACATAAGATACAATATCTGTCCCGTCCGTACCCAACAATAATGTTGTAAATGGTGAATCCATTTTCTAAATGTATCTATATGTATGAAATAAATATCTTTCTTTTAATATTTATAGCATGCATTTAGTGCAGGCCATGCAACACCGGTCAGGATTACGATAAGTAAAAAGTATTTCACAATGTGGTGGAGTGCAGGGCCCTACAACTATGGGAAGTATAATAAAACAGTTACCAATTATTATTGTTTATTTTTAAAATATTTAATATTTACATTGTCTATTTACAAGTGCATTTGACATTACAAATAAAGTAACAAAATTAAATTAAACAAGGTAATACAAAACACAGTGTTTGATCTTGAAATATAACTAAATGAAATTTAAAAAAAGTAATTTAGAGTTATTGAGTGGGAAAATATTCGTGCAGTACTCAAATACATGCATTTATAAAGCAATCAACTACAACAGTATACTATTTATTATATTTGATTTTGAATAGGACTTTCATATAATTCATCATATTGTAAACTTTTTCAAGAAATACATAAATATATATAGAATTCATTTATGTTTATCTTTTATGAAAAATTTTATAATTAATGGAAATGAAACTTTTTAGCTATGGATATAATTTTGGTATCATTAAATAACTGAAGGTTTTCATCGGTTTTGTTCTTCTTATTTATTATAAATATAAAGATAAGAAAGGAAATGCTGTTACATTTTTTCAATACTAGAAATTTTTAAATTTTCAAAATTATAAAAACATATTAACAATAATAAAGGTATATTTTAATACAAGGTAACCACCATATTGATAGGTACTAAAAAATTGGACGCAATGAATTTCGATCGATATAATATTATATAGCTGAACCTACATGTAGCTAAAAAGTTTCACTGTTCTGTCTAGAATCTAGACTATATTTGAAGAAAGAAGGATTAAAATCTAAGAATAGTATACAGTCCGTTAAAATCTGAGGATAGGTGTGATCAACATTAGTTCTAACTACAATTTGACTAGGTACAAGGGTTTATCTACCGTATTTACCTTGTGAGCCGGGAGGCACGAATCCGTACCCGGACGCTCCGGGTACAACACCACTGGACTGCGGTGGGCCGTCAGGTGGCGAAGGAGGGAATAGCACTGGACCTGAAATATAATAATATATTTTAATATTAAGTACGATTATTATATTAAGCGACCAACCCGGGTGCGATTACTGGTGAGCCAATAAAATTATGAATTACATTTTTAAGCGAAAACATCGTAAGGAAAACTATATGTTTGAGGAACTAAAAAAAATCTAAGACATGTGAAATCCACTAAAGTGCTTAAGAAGATGTACATCTTTTGAATAAAGCGCCAGCTGGCTTGCCTACATAGACCGCTTTGCAGATGTGCTTTTATGAGTTACTTCCTAATATGTATGATTTTACATTCGCTATTTTTGATCTGTTATCCGCTATGAGTACCTAACACTGTCATTATTCATCTTCCATCTAGTGGTAGTAGACGGTACCTAACAGACGGATCTTTTAGTCACGTCTACACGTCTGTTAATCACCATCCGTTAGTCACCTAGGTGTGCAAATGAAATGGTTATTTAAAGAAAGATATCGCACATTCTAAAATGCGTTTCATTTATATCATCATCATCATCACAATTACAGCCCTTCACAAGTCCACTGCACATAGGCCTCCCCTAAGGAATGTCACAAAACATGGTCCTGAGCCACTTCCATCCAGGGACTTTTTGCATCTCGTACCAGGTTGCTTACTACGAACCTGTTACTCGAGAATCTTTTTTCGCCTTTAGTTGTCGATTCTTCGAGCTTTATTGCCGGCCTGTTGCCACTTCAACTTACTGATCCATTGGGTTATGTTAGTTCTACTGCGAATATCTTCATTCCTAAGTCACAACAGTTAAGTAACATGTTATTTGTAATACTGGTAAAGCATGATGAACTTCACTTCTTTTAACAATGGGAAAACTTATTAATTTGATTGCAAATGAATATATTATAGTTTATTTTAATCTGGATATTTTTTATAAATAGCAATGAATGAAACGGAGCAATAAAATATGTAATTTCATTACTACATCTTTATGTATATTAAATAGTTTATAAATAATATTAACAAACCGGACAAAGTTAAGTCCTCGTAACTTTGTATTTAACATTTAAAAGTCACGACGAAAGTATAAATTATAATGGTCAACGATAAGTTATTGTCTTATAAGCATACAAATATCTTGTTAGTAATTATGGTTTTATGTAAAACAAATTAGTATTTTTTCACAAATTTTCTCGTCACGTTCGGCAATGTCTAATATTTTTTTATTTATAATAACATTCAAAATGAAAAAATATTAGGTACTACGTGGTAGAGCCACGCTGTAGCTATATTATGATTGTAGCAAAAATAGGTCAGCTCGACCCTCACACCCCGCACACTTTCACGGAATACCAGCATAAAATAGTGTTTAATACCTATATGTAGAATGTAGAGAACGAGATACTCTTTTTACTGGAAACGAGGCATTCCATCTTAGTCCTCAGTTTATCAAATTCTTACACCAACAAATTACTAGAGTATAGTCGTTCAGAAAGGAACCTGAGAGTACAGAGTAGAGCTATACGAATTTTAGTTATTTTATTTATATTATTATAAGGAAATAAAATCTTAAAAAACCAATAGTCATCTTCACGAATAATAAAATAGCAAATACATTGCAATGTACTGTGCAGAAAAGTGTCATACAGAGGGTACAACTATATAATGGCATGTAGCTTTTCATTTTACATTGTCATAAAAATATAATAAACAAAACTCGTTTTCACTCATAATTTTCCACATTTTGTAGGAGCAATTTATGAAGATTAACAATATATTATGTAATAGTGTGTAGTTTTTTTAATAGCCGTGTAGGGGCGGTTAAGATATCAACTACCCCATATCTTCACGTGGGTGTCGTAAGGGGCGACAGAGGGAAACAGGCAGGAGGTGGGCAGCAGCATCTTCCTGATAACAACAAACTTACAATAAAAAAGCTGCGGTTGCCAACCCGCTCGCCAAGCGTGGCAACTGTTGCAAATACCCCCTATGTTGAGAATAACAAAGAAACGGCCCCCAGTCCCCGGCAGCCCCGCTATTCCTGGCTACGGTGGCGACCATGGTAACGGCGGAGCAGGGGGTGCTAAGAATATCCGGTGGAGGTTCGGTTGCCACCTAAGACTTCATGGAGAAAGAGGGACTCTTTATGATGAACTCTTTCTTCCAAAAGCGGCCCCACAGGAAGTGGACCTGGTCGAGCCCCAAAGCTTCGACAAAAAATGAGATTGACTTCATTATGACGACCAGACGACAACTGTTCAGTGATGACTCCGTGATCGCGAGGGTGAAAACTGGTAGCGATCACCGAATGGTTAGAGGCACACTGAATCTAAATGTTAAGTTGGAGAGGTCTCGTCTAATGAAGTCAACGCTCCGTCCCCCTCGTGCTCTGTTCCAAAGTCCCGAAACCTTTCAACTCGAGTTACAAAACCGTTTTCAGTGTCTAGAAGACTGTAATGAAGTGGAAACTGTCCATGCGGTCGGAGCTAAATTCTGCAAGACCCGCCGCAGAAGAACACAAAAACTCTCCGATCACACTCACAATCTCATGGCTGTTAGACGGGAGATGAAGCTACATTCTTCAACAGATTTGACAGCATACAGGCAACTGAACAGACAGATCTCCAAATGCATGCGGCGGGACTTACGCAACTTCAATACAGCTTGTATTGAAGAAGCGATCGAGCGGAACCAAGGCTCCAAAGTCTTTGTCAGAGATCTGTCTGCCAGAAAGAGCCAACTGTCGAAGCTGAAGACCGAGTGTGGCAGCATCGTTTCCGGGGCACCTGAGATTTTGAGTGAGTTTGAGAGGTTCTATGGGCAGCTGTACACGTCATCGTTACAGCTACACTCAAGTGTGAGTAACGATCCAAGAGCGAGTCTTATCCGACACTATTCCGAAGATATCCCGGGCCTCAGTCTGAGCGAGATTAGAATGGCTCTCTAGCACCTTAAAATTGGCAAAGCCCCAGGCGAGGATGGAATTACAGCGGAGCTTCTGAAAGCGGGTGGAAGACCGGTACTTGAAGTCCTTCAGAAGCTCTTTAATTCCGTCCTCCATGGTGGCATTACACCGGAGGCGTGGTGCAGAAGTTCGGTGGTCTTGTTCTTCAAGAAAGGTGACAACGCTCCCTTGAAGAACTACAGACCGATTTCCCTTCTGACCCGCGTCTACGTCCTGTTTTCGAGAGTCATTACGAATCGTCTCGCGCGAAGACTTGATAACTTCCAGCCTCCCGAACAAGCCGGTTTCCGAAAGGGCTTTAGCACCATAGACCACATACATACCCTTCGGCAAATTGTACAGAAGTCCGAAGAGTACAATTTGCCACTATGTCTGGCGTATGTGGACTATGAGAAAGCCTTTGATTCCGTCGAAATTTGGGCGGTGCTGCAGTCCCTTCAGCGATGCCAAGTTGACTGTCGGTATATCGAAGTGCTGAAGTGTTTGTACAGTAGAGCTACGAAGGCTATCCGAGTACAGAACCAGAGTACGAAACCTATCCAATTGCAGAGAGGTGTAAGACACAGGGTGATGTTATATCCCCGAAACTCTTCACCGCTGCATTGGAAGACGTTTTCAAGCTTCTGGACTGGAAAGGATACGGTATTAACATCATTGGCGAGTACATCACTCACCTTCGATTTGCCGACGATATAGTCCTTATGGCAGAATCGCTGGAGGACCTAAGCACCATGCTCAATGACCTCAACAGTGTCTCCCAATGGATAGGTCTTAAGATGAACATGGACAAAACAAAGATCATGTTTAATGTCCATGTCACACCTATGCCGGTAGTTGTTGGGAGCACTAAGCTCGAAGTTGTTGACGAGTATGTTTACCTGGGACAAATAGTCCGACTAGGTAAGTCCAACGCCGAGAGATCAATCGACGGATTCAACTCGGTTGGGCAGCGTTCGGGAAATTACGGCACATTTTCTCGTCAGCTATACCTCAAACTTGAAAACGAGACTGTACAACCAGTGCGTGTTGCTAGTGATGACATATGGAACTGAGACGTGATTCTTCACTGCTGGCCGTAAAAGGAAGCTCAAGGTCGCTCAGCGAGCTATGGAGAGGGCTATGCTCGGGGTTTCTCTGCGTGATAAACTTAGAAATGAGTATATCCGCAGTAGAACCAGAGTAACCAACATAGCCCAACGATTAGTAAGCTGAAGTGGCAGTGGGCTGGCCATATAGCTCGAAGAACCGACAACCGATGGGGAAGAAAGGTTCTTGAGTGGCAGCCTCGTACCGGTAGGCGAAGTGTAGGGCGACCCCCCACGGGATGGAGTGACGACCTGGTAAGACATGCAGGAAGTCGATGGATGCAAGTGGCTCAGGACCATGCTTTGTGGCATTCCTTGAGGGAGGCCTATGTTCAGCAGTGGACTTATGAAAGGCTGTATTGATGATAAATGATGTGTAGTTTTTGAAATTTATATTCATATAAAAATAAATTTAAAAAAAAAAGTTGTCTCACAAAAGCCCAATCATATTGTGTGAAAGAATTTTATGTAAGTTAACACTATATTAATGTGTGTATAATATGAGTGGCGCATGCCGTATACAGTTATCAAACCATATTACAAAATATGGTTTGATAACTGTATTGCTCTACAGTGATTAGGCGGATTTGTGGTTTACATTCCAAATTATCTATAATTGCCACGAGATACGTCAAAGTACAAAGGCGGTAGTGTACTAAAAGCAACTTTCGCCGGCCTTTGCCAAGTACGTAGCAATCAAGTCGAAATATAAAATGTAACTTTAATTGATTGAAGACAAATATGATCATAAAAATGTTTGCAATCAATCGTCAAGTGGAGAATAATAACAATGTTGTCATATTGTATTTCAAGGATATTATCTAATAGACATTATAGCGACATTGTGTTCAAGGTGTATAACTGATTTCCAATGAAAAAATTGTGCAACGGTATAATATATATTTTAATAGTGCTGACCCAAAATGACTAATATAAGAATTATACCAACGTAATAAAAAATGACTTCGTTAATGTAATGTAAT